TGCATTTAATTCTAATAGTAAATGGTGATGCAAGATATGCTTGCATTTTTCAAAGAATGTTAACTGAGTAGCCGCTGTTTGCCATGCACCATGCTAAGTGTAGAGAATGCAGAGCATTCCAATGTCCCTGCTCTGAGCGTGCCACATGAACAGAGGAATCTGTGTAGCACGGGTGCTGACATAGACAGGAGCAGCAGGAGAGGTCATGAGGAACTAGGACCTCTGAACATATCAGAGACGGAGATGTTTGAGCTGGATCTTCCTGGCACCCTGCTGTGGCGGGAGGAGAGAGATGGGCATGGAGCAGGCGAAGGAAAAACCATGGCTACAAAGAGTCAGGAAGATAAATGTGGTCAGCTAGGTGTTGTTTTCTCACTTGAGAAACAGTTACATTTTTAACATCTTTCTGTCAGAGACCATTTTCATTCTGTGAAACGTTGGGGGCATTAACTTTCATATCCCCCACGCCTCAGGAACTGATGTTTCTTGATGTGTCAAGCCCTATGGCTTTGGATATATGATATTATTAAGACTCAATGCAAAACAGCTTAGGAGGAAGGTAGTGTTAAGTCCAGGCGACATAGTCTGAGAAGGTAAGACTCTCACCAAGATTCTGACTCCTCTCCCTGCTGCTTCCACAGATAGATTTTCCATCCATGAATGGAACAAGGGCCAGAGCAGCATCAGCATGAGGAAGAGGAAGTCTCAGGGGCATGTCTGTGCACCAGAGAGCATCCAAAGCAGCTTCATATATTGACCTGTTGAATCCTCACAACCTCTCTGGAAGGTAGGCACTTATGACCGCCATTTAACAGATGAAACTGAGGCACAAAAGAGTCAAATAAGTTGCTCAAAGTCCCCGAGGTGCTAACCAGACAGGCCAGCTTTCAGATTCAGGTGACCCAGCTCCAGGGCCCTGGCACTTAAACATGCCACAGGCCACGTTCTGACGAAGACAAAGTCCTAACTCAGGGCACCAGCAAAGACTGCAGGGAGAGATACTCCAGGTAGAAGACCCTGTGAGAAAGAGATCTTAGACACCCGAATAAGAATGAGAAAAATAATTCAGTATGGATTAAGAGTCAGGTATTGCTTGATGAGGGCAGAGGGCTGGAGGGAGCGACTGGAGAAGGATAAGACAGGTAGGAGAGAAAAAGAGTCTCTTTCCTCAACACTGTGCAAATAACAGATCCTCCATTTGCCTTTTGTTTTCTTTCTGATGGATGAACAAATTAATTTTTGCAATGCTGAGGACCTAACCTGTGGTCTTCCGTGTGTTAAACAAGCACTCAACCATGGAGCCACAGCTCCAACCCCATGTCTCTTTTTTTTAAATGGGAAATGTCAGTGTAAGGAAGGCATTTTCAAGCATTTAGTAAAAACACAGATATGCCAAGCGTGATGGCACATACTTGTAATCTTAGCACTTACGAGGCTGAGGCAAGAGGACAGCAAGTTTTGAGTCTAGCCTGGACTACAAGGTTAGTTTAAAGCTAATCTGGGCTATATAACAAGACCTTGTCTCAAGAAAACAAAGGGCCGGGTATTTAGCTTAGTAGCTGAGGGCTTGTCTAGCATGTGCAAGGTCCTGCCCTGGCTTCTATCCCCAATAGCACAGCGAGCCACTCCCCCACCAACCCATGATGGTTAATTTCATTTGTCAACTTGACTGAATTTAGAATCATTAAGAAGACATAGTTCTGGCCCTGTCCTGTTTCTAGAGAGGTTTGACTGCGAAAGAAGAGTCACCGAAAATGTTCGCCCCTTGGGTTGGGGTCTTGGGCTGAATTAAAAGGGGGAAAGGAGAAAGTGAGCTGAGCCCCAGCGCTCATCTCTGCTTCCTGACTTTGGAACAATTGTGGCCAACCTCCTTACTTTGCTCCACTCTGTCTTCCCTCCCATGATGGTCTCGACTCTCAAACTGAGCCCAAACAACCCCTTCCTTCCTTTACGTTCTTTTGTTGGGTATTTGTTCACAGCAATAAGAAAAGTAACTAAGACAAATCCACAACAAAAAAACAAAAACAAAACAAAGGGGACTGGAGGGAAGACTCCGTGGTTCATGCTTGTTGCTGTTTCAGAAGAGCTGGGTTCGGTTACTGGCACCCATGTTAGGCAGCTCACAATTGCCTGTAACTGTAGCTCCAGGGGATCTGACACCCTTTTCTGGCCTCTGCTGGTACCCACACATACATGTATACACACACAGACACACACAGGGACACATAAATAATAAATCTCTTTTAAAAAGCATAGTGCTGCATAAAGGTGCTATATGGCATACATACAAAATTACTCACTTGAAAATATTTTCTACTTGAGCCTCTGAATTGACTAGCTTACCATATGTCATGTATTTTGATGAACATTAGGAATTTTTGATAATTATCTGAAGTTGAATTTCACTATTCTTTTGGTTTCTGCCATGCTTCTGTTTATTTGCATATTCCAATATTTATACTATAAAATTACATAAATGTAGCAGTTTTTAGAAACTTTATTTGAAATGGTTGCTTTTTTATCTGTTTTGACTAATCAGTTCCACAATTTACAAGAAGCAAGTATCATTTGATCCGAATATATTCTCCTCAGCCACCAGATGGCATAAGGTGTGAGATTTTATTCCGACAGGATCACTGTGCCCATGACATGATAACTTGACCTGTAATCTCAAAATAAGTATTTCAAGACATGTTCTAGCACTCAAGCAGCTTCCAATTATTTTAACCACACCTATAAGTCCGTAAATTAGTTGAAATTGACAAAGTCCTATTTTTTCTAAATCTTTGGGTTCTGAGGGACACTGGCATTACATAACGAACCAATGATCAAACAAATAAAACAAGCAATTCTGTTAAAGTAAATAAAAAGAAAGCTATATCAAAGCAATATTAACCTTATATTTTGAGTAACTTTTTCAACTCTAAAAGAAACTTGAAGCATGCCTTCAAGAAAAAAAAAATGCTTGTACCTCTTCAAATTCTGCTTAATACAAATTTTTCTCCACCCATACTTTATCATGAAAGCAGGAAAGTTTTTCTTCACTTTGATGAAAAGTTGTTACAAAAGTTTGGGGAAAAGGGGCTGGAGAGATGGCTCAGCGGTTAAGAACACTGGTTGTTCTTGCAGAAGACCCAGGTTCGAATCCCAGCACCTACATGGCAGCTAACAACTGGTCATAACTCCAGTTCCAGGGCATTCAACAGCCCCTTCTGAGCTCCGTGGGCATGGGCATTGCACAACATGGGTGCACTTCCCTACATGCAGGCAATACACGCATACACATAAAAATAAAAATAAAATATTAAAAAAAGTTTGGGGAAAAAAGATAGGAAAGTCTATTAGGCTTCTAGTCAAAGTCAGCACATGGTTCATTGTTTCAGGGTCGCCTGTTCACATCGGAAGGAGATGGCACATGTGAAATGCAGAAATGCAAGGTGATAATGAGTGCAAAAGAGGGTCTTCCCCTCTTGGCCTCAAGGTGGCACGCTCACTGAGCACCATGAATGGAAGCACAAGAGTTCACATGCTTTCTCTCCTATGTGGAATCCAGTGCATGTGTGCATGCGCGCGTGCACACACACACAAACATACACACACACAAACATACACACACACAAACATACACACATGTATACTCACACTCACATGCATACACTTACACACACGTACACACACACTCAAACACACACATTTATACACACACGTACACACACTCAAACACACACACATACACTCATACACACATACACTCACTAACACACACACATACACATACACATATACTCATGCACACAATGTGAAAATAGAAGGGGGCTATTTGGGCAGAGGAAGGGGACCTAGCAGGAGAGGGGGGACAGGGGAGAGAAACAGGAGCTAACATGGTCTAAGTGTATGTTATAATTGAATGAAAAAGTCATCATAAAACTTACCACTTTATACAGTGAATACACCCCAACAGTTTTTTTGTGTGTATAGGTGTGATGTGTGTGCCTATGTACATGCATGTTTGCATGTGTGTGTACATATGTGTGTAGGCTAGGGGTTGACACAGGGTGTCTTCTCTGATTTTCTCTACTGAGACACGGTCTATTGTTGAACCTGGAGATCACCAATTTGGCTAAAATAGAAAGTATACATTTAGTTCTGGTTCCTGACTTTGGAACAATTGTGACCAACCTCCTTACTTGGCTGCCACTCCGTCTTTCCTCCCATGATGGTCTGTACTCTCAAACTGTGAGCCCAAACAACCCCTTCCTTCCTTAAGTTTTTTTGTTGGGCATTTGTTCACAGCAATGAGAAAAGTAACTAACACTCATTCCCAACAAAGAAACAAAAACAAAACACGGGGGGCTAGAGAGATGGCTTGCTGGGACCCCTGTCTCTGTCTTCTGAGCACAGGTATTATGGTGTCTGCCACGTTCACCTGGCATTTACATGGTGTTGGGGGTCTCAACCCTGGTCCTCAAACCTGTGCAGCAAGCACTTTATCCCCAACCCTCCCAATAAACTCTTTAGAGGCACACAAGAACATGGGGGGGTGGTGGAGAGGGGCACAGATCTCAATACCATCAAGTTATCTGTATCAAAATTGCAAAAATTCAATTTAAAAAAAGATGAAATATAAAAAATGGAAAAGCACACAAGAATAAAGAGACTGCATCTATTTGGTTCCTGAATAAGCAATCTGTGGAAAACAAAGTTGAAGCTATGAAAAAGCACAAAAGCTAACTGGTGATGCATAAAGTTAGGAGCAGACTGCGGGATCTCTTCACCGGAGCTCAAGTCTTGTCTTCATGTATGGCAGCTAATAAATAGCAAGAATTTCCTACCTGGGTTCCCATGAAAGGAAATTAGACTGTCTTAGTATTCTCATGCTTAGAGAAACACACATTGTTAATCCCCAGAGTTTCTTCTAACGGCTCAGTAGATATAGAAAGCAGAGCCATGGTCAATCAAGGTCAAAGCCATAATACATCAAAGCACTTGAAATCTCTTACTTCAACTTCCATTGTCGGGGATGTTGCAGATTGCATCTCTTCCATTTATAGTACTGTCCCATGAAATTTGGATCTTTAAGCACTGCAATTAAATTATTAGAAAAAGAAACTGGTCACACATTCTTCAGTAATAGTTCAAAGTTGAAAATCATTCACTGCTCGTTATATTGGTATGTGGCAATCCCAACACTACATAGTTCATATTACAATGTTCAGAAACTTTCCAAATGTATTCTTTTCATTGAAATAAGTAGATTGTGACTTGGAAATTGTTTTCGTTAAAATGACATTAGTTTAAATATCATTTAAGCAATCAAATAAAATTGATGAGAAACCATTGTTTTGGATTGAGCTCCCTTCCCTAGACCCCAATAACCAGTCCGAGACAGAATTGCTCATGATACGTTCAGGGTAAGTGCCACACAAACAAACTGAAACCTCGAGCAAGCCAGAGTATCCCCAAACAAACCAGGTGACTCACAGCAACCAACTAGAGGTGCTCAGTTGTGCTGGACCCTGTGTTGAAGTCCCAAGTTCCTTCTGCTGTAACACTTGTAAGAAAACCAGCCTTGTGTTTCCTTGGTCCTGTTCTAGCTGACTTGGACAAGCCACATTTACCTATTCCTTAGGTAACATGTTACCTAATAAAGTAGTAAGATAACTCATCTGAAAACCACAGGTGTTATAACTTAACAAATTTCTAATTTAGCACTTCAAGTGAAAAATTAGGTCTTGGGATTGTAACAGCACTACCATTCCTGCTCTGAAAACTGTTACTTTGCTTTGTTTTCAGAGCTGGAGATAAACCCAGGGCTTGTGCACACCAGGCAGACTCAGCTATATACCAAGTGACACTTCAGACCTCCATCTTCCACAAAGCAAGAAGCTCAAACAGATGATCCTCCCAACCCCGAAGGATTCCTTTGCCTATGAAAGGGAATGAACCCGTGTTGTTGGGACACTGTCCACTCCCATGGCTGGTGGTAAGGACCCAGCATCCTGCCTTGATCTGAGGTTACCTCTAGCCCAGTTCTGCGTTCTGGAGTCATGCTCAGCAAGTTCATCTCTCTCCCTGGGAGTGAGCCTCTAAGATTAGAAGATAGCTCTCAAAGAGGCCTCAGTTCCTTCAACGTTTTTTAGAACCTGGTTTTCTAGAGACAACCATCTTCACTATTCTAGTAGGGAACATGTATTGATGTTCCCATTAAAATTTATGTCCAGAGTGGAGAATTCTGCTCAGTGGTAGAGTGTATGTTTGATGATCTCCTGGGGTTCCATCCTCAGCATACGCAAGTCAGGATCTGACTTTAGTTTAAATAGGTCAGATGCACATGGAATTGCTTCCTCCCTGTGCATTGCATGTCCATCAATCCAGCTTCTATCTGCATTAGTATTTTTTGAGATCATATTATATCATGGGCTCATACATATATGGTTAGTTATAAGCTCTACAACCTCATTTAAATTCACATAAAATTTACTGAAAACATGCTATGCTTAAAGCATTGATAATTTCTCCATGAAATACTCTTAACCTTTGCCACATATCCACATATACTGATCGATTGATCTATCATCTATCTATCTATCTATCATCTATCTATCTATCATCTATCATC